GGCTCTGTCAGAAGAACTGAACAAGGTGTCTGTCTGAAGAAGAGAAGGAAATGGCAGATCCCGAAGCGTTCCCAGGGCTGGTCCTGGGGCAAGGTGTGGGCTCCACGCTGCCAGCCCACCAGGGTGAAGGATTCAGAGACCCTTGCAGGGGAGGGGAAGAGGCCCATTCTGAGCACACCCCATGTGTCGAATGCCTTTCTGCTCACCTAGTTTATTGTGATCCTGATCTCAGAAGGCTCTTGACTCCCATCCAGAAGTGAGTAGGGGAAGTTGAGAAGGTGGCAGAAGGGAAGCTGAATGGCTCAGCTCCCAGCATGGAGGGCTTCCTAAACTATGATGAAGGGTCTGGGAGGAGACTTGAGCTCAGCTGATGGCTCCTGCAGGCTGGGGAGCCACATGGAGAGCATGCGTAGGGAGATGAAGCATGGGTGCCCATCAGATTTTCTCATTCTGACCACAGTGGAGACAGGAGCAGAGCCATAACCACCTCCAAGGGGCACCTGGGAAACTTGTCAAGGGCAGACATGGAAGGGGGTGCATAGAGAAAGCCTTGATGGGGGTGGGAGGGCTGGGCCTGGGTTCTGATTGCCTCACAAGCTTTCAGTAACCACCAGCCTGCACTGGATGGTTCTCAGGAAGACTGTCCGGGGGGCTGGACAGGGGTGAGGGGCCAGGGCAGAGCACAGGGACTCACTCAGGAAGGGTGGCAACACTGCACTGTCTGGGAAGGCAGCTGAGCGACAGAGGCTGCAGAAAGAGGGGATCAGACTGGGCACCTGCTGTGCCTTGGGAGTAGGGAACAGAAGGAGGGTGTCTCGGGGAGGGGCTGTGCTCTTTGCCAGCTCTAAGGTCTTGGAGAAGTTATTCAACCTCTCTGAACCTCAGCTGTCTCCTCTGCAAGAGATGACGCCTAGCGGTCCCCACTGGTCACTATACAGAAGGGAAACGATGGTTTGGGGGCATGGCAGCTGGGCAGGCCCCACCCCGCCCTCACTACTGCTGTATACCCTCCTTGCTCGGCTCACCTTGGAGCTCACGTCCTGCCCAGGTATGAGGACAGACACAAGTTCCCAACCCTTCTTCAGCCACCATCCATCCATTTACCAGGGTCCTCTGAACACATCCTCTTCCCTTGCAATTCTGGATTGCTTGAAAACAACCCCACGGATGGTTTTGTGTCACCTCCATGCTCCAGTATGGAACAGACGAGGACATCGTTTGTCACCATCCCAGGGCCATTACCATACCTCACACAACACAAATTGCTTCAGCTGTGTGGAGTAGGAAGGTAGACTGCTCTCTGGGCTGGGCTGGGCAGGGGTCCCTGCTGGAGTCCTCAGCTCATGGTGGTGGACGCCTGGCCTGTGAGGCAAGAGGTGGCAGGGCCTACAGGAAGTTTACTTCTCTGTCTGTGAGCAGTGACTGAATGTGGGGTTGGGAAGGGCTGCTCAGTGGACATTGGCTGCTTGGAGCCCATGCTCCACCCTCAGTGCAGCCCTGACATCCATGACTTGGCCCTTGGAGCCTGTTTGTGGGGTGTGTGTGTGTGTGTGTGTGTGTGTGTGTGTGTGTGTGTTTGTCTTGCGTGCGCGCGTGCATGCATGCATGCGATTGCATTAATATGTGGGGCTGGGGACTGAGGAGCAGCAGCCTGTTGCCTCTGCTGGGAATCCAGCCTCAGGATTGGTAAAAGGGGGTGGGAGTGGGGGCAGAGGGGCCTCCACACAGAGTGCCGAGCACTGAGGACAGGCTGTTCCTGGCTGCAGCTAGAGCTCTCGGGGAGCAGCCAGAACATCTGACCCTGGAGAGCTGAGCTTGAAAGGTAGCAGATCTCTGGATGCCTGGCCTGGAACTTCCAGGTGTACAGGGCTGGGGGTCAGGGCATTGGAGGGGCTGCTGTGGTCTGGTGGGGCCAACTCTGCAGAAGTGGGAGATGGGGGTGTGAGGACCGCACCAGGATCAGATCGCACATGGGGGGCTGGCGATGCCACAAAGGACCCTGATGTCAGCCTTCCCCAGCCTCAGCTTCCCCACCCACCCTGTTGGCATACTGTCCCACCAGGGCTATTAGGAGGACACAGGATAACAAAGAGCCTAAATAGCAGGAGGGCCTGCTGTGAGGATCTTCCTAGTACAGTGGGGGCTGGGGTCAGGCTGCAGCCATCCCTGGGCTGGGGCAGGGACAGCTGGGATGCCAGCCCTCAGGGTATCCTGAGTGCTTTGTGTCACATATTAGGAGACAGAGTCACACACCTGGGGGCCCTAAACTCCCAGCAGGCTCTGCTGCTGCTGCTGCTGTCTGAACTCCACACTTGGTCTCCCCAGGTCTGCATTCTGGCTCCATCTTCCTCTCCAGGGCCAAAGCAGATGCTATTAAGGCTCCTTACACAACCTTCCAGCAGTAGCGCTACGGCCCTACTTCCCTCCCCGCGCTGGGCTTCTTGACCTGTAAGACTGCTATTGGGACTCACTCCTCACCATCCTTTGCAACTCAGTCTTAGTCCCAGCTCTGCCTTTAAACACAAGGTTCAGATCCTGGTTTTACACACGTCTGCTGGGTGAAGCTGGGGGAGACTTTCTCCTCTAGGGAAGTCTCAGCCACATCCAGAGTCAGGGCCTTCTGGCGGTCCCTCTTTGGGTCGACTCTGCTCTCTTCTGAGTCTCTCAGTAGTCACTGCCTCTGGACATGGCCATTTAGTCCAACCGGAAGCCCTTCCTGTCTGGGGGAATGACTAGTCTCCAGGGCTGTGGGAGATGTCGAAATACAGGCTGCAGTATCCTGGAGTTTGTTTTCTTTCCAATTAACCAGTAAAAAGCCAGAAGTGGAGCTGTGGCTCAAATGACAGGGCAACAGCCTTGAGCTACCCAGGTTCTGAGTTCAAGCCTCAGTACCAGCATTAAATAAATAAATAGAAAATAAAGGGCTGGGAAGGTGGCTTAATGGTAGAGTGCTTGCCTAGCATGCCTGAAGTCCTGGGTTCAATTCCTCAGGACCATGTAAACAGAAAAAGCCGGAAGTGGCGCTGTGGCTCATAGTGGTAGAGTGCTAGCCTTGAGCTAAAGAAGCTCAGGGACAGTGCCCAGGCCCTGAGTTCAAGCCTCAGCACTGGCAAAAATAAATAAATAGATAAAAATAAGTAAATACAAAATAAAGGATCTGGAGGCGATTGGTAAGCGGGATGCAAACAGGTGATTTCTGCTAGCCTTGTTTCCTTGCGGCTCTGTGGTTCCTCCTAATCCTGGATTTGCTCAGAAGGAAAACTTCCTGCTCACCAACTTTCTATCACAGCCACTTCCATCTATTCATTGTGGGGTACCCCGGGCCTGGAGCGGCAATTACAATCTCAATGAAGAGGGCCAAACTGTTAGCAGCCCCTGCCAGGCCCTAGCCTGCCATCCTAGGCAGATTCTCTCCTATATATGGTTACCCAGAGGCCCAGCCCTGAGCTGATGTGTGACCTAATCTGTCAACAATCTCACCCAGCCTGGGGCCCAGTTGGGGGAGAGGCCTCACCCCGGAGATGGTGTCCACTTGGGGGCAGAGAGGCTGGGAGGAGGCAGATCAGATTAAGAACTCAGAGGCAAGACAAGACCTGCTGCTGCCCAAGCCCCTCCCCACACTGGCGTTGTCCCTGGCCTGTGAAAACGTCCATCTTCCCCTGGTGCCCAGTGTAAACAAACCCACAAGCCTCTTGCTTTTCAAAGTCCTTTTTAATACAGCATGAAAAGGATATAGTCCCATAGGCAAGCCAAATACAGAGTCTCCAGGTATAAGGCACACAACGGAATGCCATCCCGCGCGCCCTTGGCAGGGTGGGTGGTCTATACCAGCTACCCTCCAAATGGGGGCCCACGGGTTCTGTTTGTCTTTTTAGCTGGACACACACACACACACACACGCACACACACACACATACACACACACACAGACAAGGACAAGGGACAAGGGGGTGGAGGTCAAACAGTGAGGATGGCCATGAGAGTGGTGATCACAGATGCCACCAGCCCTGGGGAAGGTGCAGGTGGGCAGGCCTTGGCACTCGGCCACTTCACTGCGGGCAGGAACACCCCCCTTTTATTTTAGGGTTAGTTGTTACACTGGGCTACAATGTAGTGAGGTTGGATTAAGTATTTGTTCGGCGTAGATTCAAGTCTATTAGATGTTGGAGGGGCAGGTGGGCAGATCCAAGTTCACAGAGCGAGGGGGCCCAGGGGCATGGCTCATATACAAAAGCTGGGCAGGGCCACTGGAAGGCTGTGGCTGGCGCTGCCTCTCCCCCTCTTCTTGGGTCTGGCTGGTCCATGGAAGAGGGCTGGTTTATCAAAAGCTTTCTTCCCCTTGTCCATACCCCCCTTCCCCCTGCACCCCCCCCAAGAAATTTAATAAAATCATCTTAATAATAGAAAAACACAAAGGCTGGAGAACATCTATTGCAATGGTGTGTTAGTTAATATCAACATTAACAAACACACAATGGGGTCACTGCTCCCCCCTTTTTTGCTATGTGTCTATAAAGAGCTCCCCTTAAGAAAGGCAATATGTTCCAAAATACACATATGTATAAATACAAGAGCATATTAATAAATCTAAACATTTGACTAGTACACTGGCTACTATTTAATACTGATATTTTCACCCAAGAGGGACAATACAGACTAACAATATGGCTTAGAGAATTGCAAAGATTTTTTTCTCTCATCAGAATTATGTACCCACTTCATAAAATATTCTATGTAGATAATATTTCCTTCTTAATGTAATTCGGTTGCATACTTTTTACATACTAAAGCATAATAATAAAAAAGCTAATAATAGGAAAAAGAGAAAAAGTTCTCACTACAAATATTTTCTTTCAGCTCAAACGGCTTTGCAAAATGCTTCCAGAAATCTTTAATATTTTATTGCCTTCCTAAAAAAACTGAAGTGTTGAAAAATGCCTCCTTTTTCTTTGCTTTTTAAAATCTCAAAAATATCAAACCATAATCATACTTTTCTTTTTTCTTTTTTTAAAAAGGCCCTCAAATATATACAGACAAAAAAAATCACCATAAGATTTTTTTTCTCATGAGAAGCTACCAAATTCAGTGTTGTGACAAAAACTGGTCATTCAGAAATGTTAACATCTGTGAATTTTTCCCCTTCATAATACACACATAGTATTTTTATTTTGTTTTTTTTAAAAAAAAAGGAATTCTGTGTCAAGTATAACTCAAAATAAATACAAATTCACAAATAGAGCTATGAGTACTTCATGTATATGGCATCCACTATAACCTCTCAACTAGATCGCTAGATCTACTTAATACACGCAAATGTCCCTTTTGAACTTAATTACAACTGCACACTTTCCTGTCCCCTGGGCTACCAGATCCTCTGAGCACTTAATTCTCCAAGCACTAGCTTGGGCAGTGGTGTCTTTTGCTGACCCTGGAAAGCTCCCAAAGTCAGAGAGAAAGGAGGCATGGAGGGACTGCCCCAGGCGGAGGTGGCGGTGGAAAGGCAGGACTCTGCACAGATGTCATTACGGGGTAATGCCGGCCAGCTGGACCAGCCACCGAACAAAAAGGTCACTTTGGGGTGACAGCTCTCCTGCTGGCCTGGCTTCTTGTGGTCTGGAGTCTGTGTTCTGTTCGGGGTGTGGGATTCCTCCCTACCTTTGCAGCCGGGTTGGCAGGTCTTAGATCTCCTTAGCCAAGGGACCCCATTCATTGTCGCAGCTGAGACAAGCACACCGCTTCACCCCCAACCCCCAACATTCAGAAGGATGATTGACAGCAACAGCTCCTTCTGGAGGACAAAAACACTGGGTCATGGCCACCCAGCTCTTCCCCTAGGGCAGCAGCTGGCTTGGAGTCCTTGGTGACAGTCCCTAGAGGGAGCTGAAGCTATCTGCAGCGGCTTGCTGCCCCCAATGGGTGGGTATGGGGGAGGGCTGCAAATAAATATCCATATCTTAAGTGCTCAGAGGGCATGCCCCCCAAAAAACCCATCCTGCAGTGCTCCACCTATAGAAGCACTCAGTCTCTCACTCATTCCCTGGACCTTGGTTAACACTTTACGGTAACTCTTCAACTGTACAAAGCATGTTCACTTGCAAACAGAAGGCGACTAGGCACCAGATAGGTATGCTCCAGCCATGGTAAACATTTGAATTTCAGGACCATTTTGTGGCCTGATTTCTTTTTTCTTTTCCTTCTTCTTCTTTTTATTTTTTTCTTCTTTTTCCTACAGAGTCATAGTGTTGGGGGAAAAAAAATCAAGCCACCAATCCTGGTTGCTGATTCTCTCCTTCCCCAGGGAGAAAAAGGCAACCTACAGACTGGGGAAAGGGAAGGGGTGTATTTCTACTTGCCCTACGATGTGCCCAGAGGCCTCTTGGCTCCCTTAGGAGGTAGGAGGAAATCACTGTCCCCGGTTTTCAAATGCGAGGTTCTGTGGCATGTTTCAGGCATTGCCCCCTGCCCCAGCCAGGAGGGCTTGGGGAGACTTAGGTGAAGAGAAGGGTCCTTTTCTGTGTTTGCAGGGAAGGGGACATAAACACAGGGGTCACAGGGGTGGACTCAGCTTCCCTCTCCCTGACTTCCTAAAGGACTGATGGGGGAATGTCTGACAGGTATCTTCCCCCCAAACCTGGGATTCCCCCCAAATAAAGCTTTCTGTCCCAGCGAGGTATCTGGACAGCATCAAAACTGACAGGCACTGTCGGTTTTACTGTCTGGTGTCACTCTCTGACAGGGAAACTGAGGCTAGAGATGAGATGTCTTTGCCCCTGAGTCCTTCCTGCCAGGGCAGCTTCTATATGGGAGCCTTGGTAGGATCACAGCCCCCTCCCCTAATGGGGGTGAAAGACCAAGGGGGAGAGAAGGAAGGACCCAAGCCTGTGGGAGACTGTCTCTGGACCAGAGGAGTCACAGGAATAGAGGGGTGCACGATGTACTCACAGAACACTGCCCAACAGTTCACCCTCTGTGCTCCAGGCTCAGGGGGACCCTGGATGAAGGGCAATGCAGTGACGTCCCAGGTGGGTGGGGTTTGCTCTGAGTGTGGTTGGGAACAGAAGCCCCTCCCCAGCCGTGGCCAGAATGGTGTCTGCTCCCTGTGAGGGCAGGTGAAGGATTGAAAACTAGGGCATTCAGCGAGGGGCTTGTCACATAGGCATGCTGGAAGGTTCTGGGAGCTGACCTGGCTGGTTTTGAGGAGATGATTCCCCCCAACCCCCCACCATTACAGATCTCGGGATTCACAGTTCATTTAGTGCGCTGGTGGCCAGACAAGACTGCTCACTTAGAAGGGACTCTCAGGAGAAGAGCCTGGGGAGGGCGAGGGATCCCAGCTCTGACCTCAGCTTTTACTTCTTTACAAACCCCTGCCTCCCACAGCCCTGCTGTCAAACTTCTCAAGGCCTCCAGGAGCCCCCAGACCAGGCCGGCAGCCTGAGAAGGCTGCCCCCTCCCCTGGCCCGGCCAGGAGCCTTGCAGTCCTGCTGAGCAGCCAGGAAAGTGGTGGCCAGCAGGCCAGGCAGCTGGCAGGGTGCTGGCAGGGTGTGGCGGTTGTGGTGGCGGTCACTGCACACGGCGGCAGTAGTAGCCCAGGACCTTGCACTTCTCACACAGATGCTGCGGATGCTCCTTGCTCTGGTCAGATACATCCAGGCCGTCGGGCTTCTCCAGGGGTCTCTGCAGAGATGGAGGGAGGGGACCCAGGGATGTACAGACACCACACAGGGAGAAACAGAAGAAGAGTGAGACACCCAGAGAGACAGGGGACACGAGAGGAGACAGACGCACAGACACACAGAGAGTGATACATGCAGAGAGACCGAAGGAGATATATAGCCTAGTGCTGGTAGCTCACACCTGTAAGCCTAGCTGTTCAAGAGGCTGAGATCTAAGGATCACAATTTGAAGCCAGCCTGGGGCAGGAAAATCCATGAGACTCATCTCCAATTAACCACCAGAAAACTAGAAGTGGAGCTGTGGCTCAAAGTGGTAAAGTATTAGCCTTGCAAAAATAAGCTAAGGGAAAATACTCAGGCCCTGAGTTAAAGCCCCACAATTGACAAAAAAGAAAGGGAAGGAGGGAAAGAGGGAAAGAGGAAGAGAGGGAAGGAGAGAGGAAAAGAGGGAGGGAGGCGGAGGGAGGGAGAGAACAAGAGAAAGAGAGAGCAAGAGAGAGAGAGAGAAAGAGAGCATATAAGGCAAGATACACTGGAAGGGGCCCAGACTAAGAGACAGAAATGTATATCCAAAGACACAGACACAGACAGACACACACACACACACACACACACACACACACACACACACACACACACACACACACACACACAGAGCTTGATCCTCCACCCACCCCGTCCTCTCTGAGTCGCTCAGCACAGAGACAGGATCCAGCTAACAAAGACCTCTGCCAGATGAGGAAAAGGAGTCCCAGGGCAAGGGAGACCCACCCCCTAAACCCTGATTCTTGGTGTCCAGTCTTCTTTCCTGGTCTCTTGTCCCCTCTCCCCACTTGGGACAGTCTTGGGAGTCAAGGAACCATCAGCCTGGATTCAGTCACAGCACTTGGTATGAGTGAGACTTAACTTACCAAAATTGGCCTGGGGCTTGGGGTTACCCCCTTTCCCAGGGACCTGCCTACCCTGCCCTGTTTGTTGAGTTACCATATGAATGGAACCTCATTGTTTTCTAACAGGGAAACTGAGACCCAGAGGAGGGAGACAACTTGCCAGAGCTCGAAAGTAGTACAAAAGATGGGCGCGGATGGCTCATGCCTGTCATCCTAGCTACTCAGGGGGCTGAGACTTGAAGATTGTGGTTTAAGTCTATGGGATTCTTATCTCCCATTTACCATCAAAAAGCCAGAAGTGGAGGCATGGCTTAAGTGGTAGAGTGAAAAATTAATGGAGTGAAAAATAATGGAGAGCCCCCCTGGCCCCAAGTTCAAGCTTTATACCTATAAAACAAACAATTTGCATTAGAGACTAGGAGAGTGCCTGGCACACACAGAGTGCTGGCCAATATTAATATTAGGTGTTCTTAGTGCTATGGTGTAGGGTGCGGCCTGGCTGGGGACAGAAAACCAGGTGAGTTCCTTTGAAACTGGTCTCCTTAGCCCTGGGATCTTCTGATCTGTGGTGGTGACCCCTGATGCCTGGTCCTCTGTGGGCCTGTCTGCTCAGCCTAGCTCAGCCTGCCACCAGCAGGCTCCATGGGGCGCAAACTGGGGCTCCTCAACTGAAAACACCCAGCAGTTGGACCTCCCCCACCCCCCACAGGGAGGGGGAAGAGGAGGGGCAGGTCTGGCTGGCACAGCTGGGGCTTAACAAGAAACAGATGTGGCAGAGCCAGTTGCCGAGGGGGCCCAAGCCAGAGCTTGGGGTGGGGGTGGGGAGGGGCAGGATAAGTCAGCCAGCCCCTCTCTATGTGGGGGACCTGGGAAGGGCTCCAGTGTCTCCTCCAGCTCTTCAAAGGATCCTGACAGCCAGTCATGGGAAAGGGCACTACCTCAGGCCCCTCCCCAGCTGTGGAGAGAAGCCAATCACGCTGCCTGGAAAAGGATTCTGAAATTGCTGACCCTTAATGCTTGCTGCCACAGTGACCCTGCCCAAGCCCCCTCTTCTCTCTGGGCTTCAGTCTCTCTGATGCACACAGTAGGTGCTCAACAAACACTGGCTGAAGGACTGGGAGAGGAAGAGTGGACTCAAATGCTCTTGAAAGGTCCTTCCCCTTGGGCCCTTGGGTGCTCCAGCCCTGACAGTGTGGAGGGGCCAGATGGGGCCCATGAGGCAGGAGATCCCATGGCCACAAGGGCGTGGCCTGGTGTGTGTAAAAGGCACACAGTGAGCACATGCTGGGGTAATGAGGTGCTATTGAGGAAACAAACACTTGGGTCCCACTGGCTTGTGGGTGCTGAGCTGGGCCTGCCTCTCTGTTCATAGAAAATGTGGGTCATAAAGACAGAGACCCTCAGATCTGCAGCCCAAACCCAAGCATTATCATGTACCCCCCTCCCCCCACACAGCTACCCATCTGCCTCCTTCAGGTCTCATGCTGTCTTCCAACCCTAAACCTAGCCTCTCCTCATGAACCTCTGCTTCTCTACTGAGTTGGAGGGGCCAACCCCTTGCCTCACCCCCTCAGGAAGGAGGGAAACACATCAGGCTGACTTCAGGGGCTGTCTGAGAGGATGACAGGTGTACCTTAGAAGGTGTGTGTAGTAGGGATGGACACATTGCTCCAAGGTACCCAAGTCACAGGAGGCCAGGCTGGTCCATAAGCAGGTGCCTGGCAGGCCTCAGGAGCAGGCTTGAGTTAGTAGATTGTTTGCAAACATAAGTGCAAGCTCAGCTCATAAGTTAGCCCTCCCACTGAGGACCCTCCCTAGACTAACCTGTGTGTACCTGTGATGACTTAAAATAAAGCTGAGAGCCCTGTGGCTCTTAAGCTCCCTTGGGTGTCCCCAGCCTCTGCTGTCTGGGCCCATTTAGCTTCCCACCCCATTCCTGTCCATCACTGGGCTGTCCCACTCCATCATTCCAGTGAGACCAAGGGGCCCTTCCCAAGGCCACGCCCACTGCATCCACTTGGCCGGGGCCCCACAGGGAGGCCACGCCCCCTGACTCGGTGACCACGCCTATGGGCCCTCCCACCAAGCACTCCCCTGCGGTGTCCCCGCCCACCACGGCCCCGCCCCGCCCCCTGGTGGCCCCAGTAGCCAACACCAACGGACCCTCCCGCCGAGCCTCCCCGCCCACTTCCCACGGCCACGCCCACCTGCTTGTGCGGGTACACGTTGATATGGCACTTGATGCACTCTTGCCCCATGTTGGCCCACGAGTTGCCGCTCATCCATTTTCTCTTGCACTTGGGACACTTGTACTCGCCAAAGCAGCGCTTTTTGCCCTGGTACGGGGTCAGACCCTCTCCTTTGGGCCGTGCCTGGAGGATAGAAAGCAAACATAGGCGTTTGAGGATGAGGAAGCCAAGGTGGCGCCCCCTTCGGGGGTGTCTCAGTGTGCACCCCCGTGTCCCCATGTGCAAGCAGCTGGAGAGGACTGAGGTCACTCCAGTGCACACATGGGGATCCCGAGGCTTCGAGATCTCTGCTATCCCTAGGCCACCCCATTTCCACAGGTTCCCCCTCTCACAAGCACTTTCTCTAGTCGGGCCTTTAATTTAGGTCCTTCCTGCCTCCTCCTCCCCCCCCCAAGGGTTGAAATTAACCACACAAGAACTGGAAGCAATCTCAATTTTCTGTCTACCACCCCAGACATGGCTGTGTGCAGACGCATTGGACATGCTTATGCACTGGCTTTCTTCTCCGGTGTCAACTAGAAACAGATCCGCACTGGCTCCACAGCTTCCTGCGGGCACTTAATAACACATCTCCCTGTCCCACATCATCACGGTCATGGCAACACTGAACTGTTCCATTAATAGTTACACAACCATGGAATCCAAGTTCAGGCACATTCACCTGTTGGTATTTCCAAAAATCTAGGTAGTTCCCATTCTTCTGTTATCACAAACCAGGCTACCATGAACAGCTCTGTATGTGCATCATTTTGCATATGTAGGGTAAATTTGCAGAGGTGAAATCTCTGAGTCAATATGAACTATCAATTATCAATTGTGTGTGTGTGTGTGTGTGTGTGCGTGTGCGCGCGTGTGCGTGCACGCATGCACGCGCACATGTGCATGCTGGTCTTGAGGCTTGAACTCAGGGCCTGGGCACTATCCCTGAGTTTTTTTTGCTCAAGACTAGCACTCTACCGCTTAAACCATAGCTCCATTTCTGGCTTTTTGTTGCTTTATTGGAGTTATTTGTCTCAAGGACTTTCCGGCTTCAAACTTCAGGTGGGCTTCAAACTGTGATCCACAGATCTCAGCCTCCTGAGTAGCTAGGAATTACAGCCACCAGCGCCCAGCTTGCGCTATTCATTTTTCAGGACAACCTCACAACAAATGGGTACTGCGCCCCACCCCAGCACACTGCACGTTCTCCAACTTCACATTCCATGCCCTCACCCACAGTTTCACTGTCTGGCCTCCCTCCCGAGAAGTTCCGCCTCTAACAATTTTGTTTTCCTTGACTTTAGTTATCTGTGGTCAATTGTGGCCTGAAAGTTATTCCATGGGAAGTTCCTGAGTTGTGCAACTCGGAAGTCTTCAATGACTCACTGCTTTGAGTAGTAGCAAGGTGCGATCGCTCTTCTCTCCCACAGTGGGACTCACTCTTTGTTTAGCGGATCAGAGTTGTATATGCCACCTGCCCGTTAGTTAGTCACTCAGTAGCTGTCTCAGCAGCAATGCTCACCACCTGATTCCGTTTTACACAGTAACAGCCCAACTGTGCCAGGGTAATGTACGCAGGCAATCAGGATACACTGCAGGGAAGCTATAAAGCACTTTCTTAAGGTGAAACTTATCTCAAATAAGGAAAGACAAAATATATGCTGAGATTACTTAGATGGATGGCTAGAACTAGATCCTCTGTTTGTGGAATTGTGAAGAAAAAGAAATTTATGCCACATTGCCTAATAAGTGCTTAGTGAAGAAGGGAGACACCAAGACCTGGAGGCTCACCCCTGTATTCACAGCTACTCAGGAGGTGGAAGATTCACAGGGTTTGGCATTTAAAGCCAGCCTAGCAGAACAGTCCTTGAGACTCTTATCTCTAATTAATCAGCAAAAATCTGGAAATGGAGCTATGGCTCAAGTAGTAGAGTGCCAGCCTTGACTGAAAAAGTTAAGGGAGAATGTCCAGGCCCTGAGATCAAGCCCCAGTACTGGTTCTCTCTCTTTGTCTCTGTCTCTGTTTCTGTCTGTCTGTCTGTCTCTGTTTCTCAATCTCTCTCTGTGGTGGGGGAGCAGAGGCAATGGAGGTGCTGTAGAGGCCAGGCTGAGACCCAGGAGGCATCAGTCCAAAGAAGAAGTTTCCAGATATGGGAGGGAGGCCTTCCTCTCATTTGGAGGTGGAGGTAGTAAGCAGAGTTAGCTTCCTTCACCTTCTAGAACATTCCAGAGAAGGACAGAGAAAGACAGAGGAAGGCTACCTTGCCTCGGAAATGTGCTGGTAGAGCACAAGGAAAGGAGGGATGAGGCCTGACATTTGTGTTCCGTAGGATGGGAACAGCCTGGAACCCCTTTCCCAGAATCCTGTGGGGCAGGGAGTGCTCTCAAGCCAGGTGACAGCTGGTGACACTGAGACCCAGGAATGAGGTGAGACTCTTTTAGAAGTGGCTGGCAGCAAGGCCACCCTGGCCACCTCATCTGTCTGCCACCACCAGGTCCAGGCTAGGGAAAGGGAGGAACCCCCCCCCCCAACAGGAATGTTAGGAGAAAATGCTTAGGCCCTCCCAGGTCACCAGTCACCCACTGCCGGAGGAGCTTCCTGCAGGCTGGGGGAGGGGTGGCCAGCAGAGCCAGAGGAAGAGACAGTGATGGAGGGAAGACAGGCCAGCAGGCAGCGCCCAGCAGAGAGCAGCCACTTCCTGGAAGGTTCTGTGCAGACATTGTTTATGCTGACCAAAGAGGGCAGAGCCAAGAGAGAAGGCATTTTTGAACAGAACAAAAGCCTTTCTGGTTCCCTTGCTTTCTCCCAGAAAGGTGCAGCTTCTTCTCATAAACAGCATGAAGCAGATGGTCACTGCTGACATGACTCTGTAGGGGTCACCACCCACCCTGGATGGGTAGGCTGCCAGGCCCAGGAGGCTCTATTGACCCCACCTCCTGCCATGGTACACACACACACACACACACACACACACACACACACATCTGTCAGGACGCCACCTGGCACCTCTCACTGGGGCTCAGACACGTCCTCTGAGGACCTCAGAGGCCAGGGAACTTGCTCAATGGCCTGTGGTAAGTCAGTGACCAAGCTGACCTCTAGATCCTCTGACCACCAGATGGGGGGCTAGAAGAACTGTGGCAGAGCAAGCTGGGAAGGGGAGCCTGAGCTGGGGGGGGGGAGGGGTAGCCACGTGAAGGAACAAAGAAGGCAAAGCTAACTCAGGCTTGTCACCCTAACTACTCAGAAGGCTGAGAACTGAGGATCCCGCTTTGAGGCCAGTCTAGGCAGAAAAGTCTGTGGAATTCTTATCTTCAATTAAGTACCAAAACAAAACAAAACAAAAAACCAAAACAACAACAACAACAACCAAAAAAAAACCCACAAAAAAACAGAAGTGGAGCTGTGACTCAAGTGTTGAGAGCCAGCATTGAGTAAAACAGGTAAGGCACAGTGCCTAGGGCCTGAGACTGAGCTCTAGTACCAACATGAGAGAGAGAGAGAGAGAGAGAGAGAGAGGACAGAAATAAAGAGAGAGGAGAGAAGGAAAGGAAGGGAAGGGATAGTAGCAGCTGAAGAGACACATAGGCAGGCTGGCTAGCAGCTTGGGTCTAAGCAGAGTGCTATAACGCTCTGGACATTTCTTCAGAATGATTCTGTGTAGGCTTCTCACCAGGCCAGCTAGGAGGTGGTGAGCTCTCCATGATCAAAACAGTGCCCAGGACTGGGGACAACTATCAGAGAGCCTGCCAATGGAACCTTTGCCCTGGTTAGGTGGCTGGGCCTGGTGACTCTCAGTGTTCTTCCAGTTATGAAGCCTCACACCTTGGAGTTGGTGAAGGTAGCTAGAGCAGGTGTGGACGGAGGACGAAGTCAGATACTGCTGAGAATGGGGGTGGACAGTTATCTTTTCCTATTGTCTTCCTTTTCCTTTCCTTTCCTTTCCTTTCTCCTCCTCTCTCCCTCCTTCCCTCTTTCCTCCCTCCCTTCCTTCCTCCCTTCCTTCTTTCCTTCCTCTTTCTCTCTTTCCCTCCCACCCTCTCTCCCTTCCTCTTTCTTTCTCCTTCCTTCCTTCTTTTCTTCC